ATGGGGCCTCTTGGGAAGGGAGGGTGCCGTGTGGTGGGGTCCCAGTGAGTAGCTCTCACACCCAGATGACTGTGAAAGATCCCATTGGTGTGTGTCCACTGAGACAAACAGTATGTAATTGGAAACTGCCAGTGAAACGTTACCAGGCGGTAGGTCTAACCTGGAAACTGGTGACAAATCTTTTATAAAAAATTTTCTCTCTTCAGAACTTTCCTAGAAGTGCTTCTGAAATAGGGGTGCTCCCTGGATTAAGTGTATGGAATTGCTTTCCAACATTGGGTCAGACAGCCCTCCTGGCAGTGCCTGAAGCCACCAGTGGTGGCTCCCAGGCCTGAGGATGGCTGGCTGCTCTCCTGGGACTCCCCGTGCACCCCTTTCTCTGTTGGGCCGGGCCGTCCCTGAACTGTATGCCAATCTCCTTCTGAGTGGGCGTCTGCCCCGGGGCACCCTCTGTGTTCAGAGAACTGCTGCTGGTCCTTTCAGGGGAGGAGAAGGGGCTTTGAGGTTCAGTGGGGGTGTTTACTTGGATAAGCTCTTTCTTTGCCGCCTTCTCTCTCCCAGGGTAGTGTAAATGTCTAGAGTGGCCAGCCTTGTTGAAGACAGTCTGAGGGAGGCCGTGGAGTTACACTGGCATTGGCTAGCTTTCGGGGACAGAGCTGGGCTGCCAGCCTCAGGAGTTGAGTGGTTTAAAGTGTTTGTGACGGCATAGCGTCGTCTTGTCAGCTCTGCTGGCTGACTGGTCCCAGCTGAGCGTAGCTTCTTGGGTTCTCCTCTCCAGCGGCTTTGTTCCTCTTGTGGGGGGGGGCCAGGGCCATCTCTGTGTCTGTCTCTGTGACCCTCTTGCCAAACAGCTAGCTTGGCATCCTTCTGTGAAGTGGTCTCTCAGAGCACACGTTCTGAGGGCCCGAGGAGAAGCTTTTGAGGCTGTGACCTTGCTTCAGAAGGTCGCGCTGTTGCTTCCTCACTGCAGGCTACAGGGAGTGAGCTGCCTTCAGGGCACGCTGCAGACTGAGTGGGCGGCCTCTTAAGGGTATGGTGCAGTGGTCCTCTACACAGCGTTTGTCAACTGGGAGTGTTAGGACTCCTCGTTAACATCCACCAGAGTCCTGGGCTCACAGGAAATGGATTTCTAGGGCCTGGTGCTTGAAAATACATAATGACACAATTCAGAGATTGTTTGATTTCTGAGTTGAGCTTGCAGATCTTTGAGCAGTGTAGTATCTGTGCATGTGGAAAGATCTTCCCACAGGTGCACAGAGAGAAGTCAGTCTGCAGGCATTGTGGATTCTCGTGAACTCAGACTGTCATGGAGCCAGGTACAGGGAAGAGGGCGCGGTAGGCGCACACGAGGGGTGCCACCTGAGTACCCGGGGAGCAGACTCAGCACCCGTCTTCACTGCTGCCCTGATTGTCCGCGGTCTGCTGAGTTCACCTCACAGCGAGCAGCTCCTTACTGCCTTGGGAGGTTGGGGCCCGAACTGCCCCAGGGACCTCCTAGGGCATCCAGACCTTCTTGGCACCGAGGTCTCACCTCACCCAGCGAATCTGAGGGGCAGTGGGGCAGGAATTACTGTCCCCAACTTTGTAGGAGGCACAGAGAGGGAATGTCCTGCCCTGAGCGTCTCACTTGTATGAGGCGGGACCCAGTGGGGGAGTTTTGTAGGAGTGTGACCCCTCCTTCCCGTAGCACGCGCAGGCTTGGAGCGCCGTGCCTGCGCTGGGAGGAGGCCCTGTGGCCTGTCCACCAGCCAGCATGGTGCCGGGAGGAGAGTCCCTCCCCTCTGGCTCCGGGGGCCTCGCCCCTTTTCTGGGGTTGTGGTGTCGCACCAGGGCTGGACCCCTGTTTTTGCCCTTGTCACAGCAGCCTGGGAGCATCCTGGCCCTCACCAGGAGCTGCTGTGCCCCACTCTTCTGGAGAGAGTGTCTAAGTGGGAACACTGGTCCCTGGCCCCAGCCCTGGGCCTGTTGAGCGGGCAGTGGCAGCATCACCCTGGGAGGCTGAGGGAGGGTGGCCCTTGTAGGAAGGCCAAGGCGCTGTCCTTGTGTTAACCCCACACTGACTGCTGATGGGTAGGGATGGAGGTGCTGTGAATGGAGGGATCTTGTTGTGAGTTAAGTTTTAATCTCCAGGAAGCTTGAGGGAAGTTCCCGGCACGTAACAGAATTTTTGTTTGTTTAGCCTCGGGAGGCATACAAGGGAGGGAGGCAGTGAGAACATTTTCACAGACAGCCCGGCTTGCTTCCAGGCCACATGAAATCTCTTCTGATCATAATAGTTTATATCAGGATCCCCAAGATGGGCAGGCTGGGCTTAATGAATTTGCCCTGAAATCATAGCTTTCAAATAAACGTGGTGCCCAGGCAGCCTCCCTGGACACATGGCCACTACAGTGTTTCCCTGGCATGTTGGGCTAGATGGTTTTATAATTTAAAATACGTTTTTTAAAAAAGAATGCCCACGATAATTTTGAGCCTTTGTCAAATGAGTGTCCTTTTCCCTGAATTAAAAGAACTCTCTGGGAAAGTACTGAGAAACTTGAAGTACCTTTGCGTTAAAACTGAGCTTTGGAAAGTTTTTCATGTTGGAAAGTAGTGGGGGCTTGTGGCCCTTCTGCGTTTGGAAGAGGCGACCCAGGTCCCTGTAACAAGCGAACAGTCCCCTGTGGGCCGGCGCCACACAGGAAGTGCCTGCAGCCCCGCAGCCCCAGGGCGAGCTGGCGCCTCCATTTCCTGACAGCACCTGAACCCTACCTCACTTCTCAAAATGAAGGCTGCATGTCACAAACTGGTTAGAACTGGCTGTTGCCATGGTTTTCACGTTGGAAGGCACAGTTAAAGGGTCACATGACCAAAGAGGGAAATGCCTTTGTCACATGACTTTTTGGTGGCCTGATTAGCATACAGGAAGTTCACTCCCTGCTGGCTGCTGGGATGCTGAGTGATCACTGATGGGAGGTGATGTCATCTCTTGGACGAGTTATTGATTAGTCTCGGTCCAAGATGGGACCTGGGAGAGCTCTGGTCACCGTGGTCATCTCAGGAAGCTTCAGCTTCCATGTGGTCCAGCCCCTAACCCTGCCCTCTTCCCTCAGGCACATTTGCGCTGTACTAGGCGTCTCACCTTTGGGAGATGGGCACGTGCTCTGTGAGATGGTAAAAAGTGATGAACCCCCTTAGGGTGCGTTGCCCCGCCCCGCCCCGCCCCCCCCACTTCTGCTCTCGCTCGGGAAGCACCGGCAGTCATAACTCTACATGTGGCTCTGCCGAGGCTGCTGCTCCGCCTGTGTGCAGCCGCCTGGGAGCCCCCTGGGCTGCGGCCAGCGCCTTGTGTCTTCTCAGTACCTGTGCGCCTGTCCACAAAGCCTGGACTGGGGCCCCGGGATCGTCTGTAATGTGGATGGATCTTGGGCAGAGTTGGCAGCCAGCAAGGGAGACACGGACTTGAAGGAGTAGTGGTTCCTGAACTGCATTGGTTTTTGGTTTGTTGAGGCCTTAGTGAGATATCCTTTGTTATTTTACAGCCAGCCAGCCAGCCAATTCCTGGACTTGAAAATGTGGGCTGCTAACCCCAGTGAGGGAGTTCTGTACCTTGAAATGGGCGCCTTTTTGTTGGTTCACCCTCCTGATCACTCGTAGAAGACCATCCAGCAGCTATAGCTGTGGCGGTTAAAGCGCATCAGGGCTGGGCTTGTTGAAGTGCAGCAGCTATGCTTCTCTCCTGAGATTAGGGCGGGCCAAGGAGAGCCCTGCAGGTTGAGGGGTTGGGGGAGTCAGTGAACCCAGTGTCTGGCCCTCTGTGCCCCACTTCCCTGAAGACATAGCTCACTATGGGAGTGGAAAGGGCAGTTCAGTGGGCTGTTAAAATACCAGTTTCCCATCTGTAACTGTTCCCCACTCTGCTGGAAGGAATGGGACAACTTTGAGCTGTTGTTAGTCCCAGTTAACTTAACGGAGTTTGTTCTTTGGGTCACAGTGCCACCTAGTGGGTGAATTCAGTCCTTGGCTGGCTTTCCTGCTGATTTGATTCTTTCAGCACACATGCTGAGGCTAGATCTGAAGGGAGAGTTTACATTATGTCCTCAGCTAATGGAGCTGCTTGGCTTGGCGCTAAGCACTGTCTCTGAGACCCACTGGTCCTTATATATGTGGTCAGCAATGCCATTAGCGGAAGCCTAGCATCACCAGATGTGCACATACATTCTGAGGAACTTGAGTGGTAGGATTGGGAGAAGAGGGCAGAGGATAGTGGGCAGGGGCGGTTGGGAGCTGGTTTGGGAGCAGAGGAAGTGGGTGGGTAGGACACCGGTCTGTGAGAGCGCATGTGCTCCCGTGTTCCAGTGTCACAGCATGCAGCCAGCACTGCCGCGGTGGCCCTGGCCGGGTAGGGAGCCCAGCTGTAGCCCAGGGAGGACCATGCAGCAGGCTGCCGTGGCTGCCTTGTGAGGTGGTGATGCCCCGTGCTGGGGAGTTACTGTCGACTGACAGCGTGCGCATCAGCCTCTCTGTCACCTGGGGAGGGGTGTGAGGGTTGTCAGGGAGTCTGGGTTCAGCAAAGAAATGCTGATTCAAGTGGCGCTGGCCTCCCCATCAGGTGTCTCCCAGCATGGGTAGGTAGGCGCTCCACCAGCAGGCTCAAATCCAGGAGCACATGTTCTAGTTCAGTACTGACTGAGCCACATGGTGCGGAGAGGGGCTGTGGTGGGCTCCAAAGTGCGATGTTTTCCCGCAGACGTGTAGGTGTCCTCAGCCTGGGGACGCAGAAGTGGTTACTGGTGATGGTCCTGACTCTTTACAGGGCTCAGCCATAAACTGGCAGGCTCTGGGGCCATGAGGTGAGTGCGGTGAGAAAAGGCAGCCCGGGCAGGTGGCTGTGGGGAAGGGTGGTGAGAAGCCTGCTTGCCTCCACTTCACTGTGTCTGAGTCCGAACCCCAGCATCCGTGGGAGTGCTGCCCACCACAGGCGGGGTGCTTGGCTAACAGCCCCCCTCCCTGCCCCACAGTGACATGAAGTCTGAGAGGAGACCCCCTTCACCCGATGTGATTGTGCTCTCTGACAACGAGCAGCCTGCGAGCCCGAGGGTGAATGGACTGGCCGAGGAGCCCCCAAAGGAGACCAGCACCGAGGCCCTCATGGTGAGCTTTGTCCCCGTGGGGCGCTGGGGAACCGCCTCGCGGCAGAGCCGACGGGTGTCCCCTGGCCCCCAGCCCTCTCCCCGAGCCCGTGTCCTCTTGCCCTTGTAGAAAAGCAGTCCTGAAGAACGAGAAAGGATGATTAAGCAACTAAAAGAAGAGTTAAGGTTAGAAGAAGCAAAACTGGTTTTGTTGAAGAAGTTGCGGCAGAGTCAAATACAAAAAGAAACTCCCACCCAGAAGGTATGTGCGTGGCTGTTCACTTGTCAGGGGTCACTGAGAGACCCCTTTGGACTGGGGATAGAAAGCCATGGGCACTTCCTTGGCTCCCTGCAGGAGCTGGGTCTGTGAGGAGTCAGGTTTCCTCAGGGGCAATGGGGCAAGGTCTGAATTGGAAATTTGCAGGCTCAAGTTCCCACGTTTTGGATTTAGCTTAGAGGAGATCAGACTACATTTCAGTCTAGAATATTCTGGATCTGAGTATGAGAACCTCATTCCCTGTAGACTCCCATCAAGGGAATGGAGAGCAGACGTCTCTGAAGGTGCTGGAAACACAGCTCTGTCCTGAAACCCTTTCTGAAGGGCGTCCTGCCCTGTGGGTGCCTGTGGTGGCCGGCAGGGGCCGCTCTGGGTTTCTGGACAGACTGCTGAGCTCCTGCTTCAGGCTGCACATGCCCAACCCCAGAGGCCGTGTCCCGGGGCTTCTGCCCCTGTCACCTGCCCACGCTTCATGCTTCTTGTTTGGCTTCTAAACGGGGCTTACCCTGTAAGGCAAGGTCAGGCTGGTTTTGTGGGCCTCTTGTTATCCTGTTCTGGAAAGGTTCCTGGTCCATGACACGGCTACCCTTCCTTACATTCTGATGACTCTCTCAGTGAACCAGAAAGTAAATGCACCTTGGGCCGTACAAGCTGACAGTGTGTAGACATTGCTTCCGCCTTAAAGGGAGCGAGACAGGAGGACACTCAGTCGTCTGACTTGGGGATTTTTTTGAGCTCCCACTCCACACCTAGTAAACACGTGGACCAAGCCTGGCGGCTGTTAGTATCCTGATGGATGAGCCTGCTCGGTACTTGCTTCCTTGTTGATTGCTTAAGAGCTGATGATGGAACCGAGTCTGTCACTGTCCCTGGTGGGCTGTACGCCTGGACCAGAGGGTTTCTCACCAGGGTGCGGATTGATGTATATATATAAGCCGCGGCCTTTACCCCCAGCCTTTTTTTGTCCCCTGGAGGGCAGAGATGGCACCTGAATCTCAGTGGTGCCAAGCACCCTGGGGCAGAGGGGTAAAGGGCCGTGGAAAATCCGTCCTGTGTCTTTCAAACATGTTAATTCCCACTGCAGTGAACGTGGCAGGCAAACAGAACCTTTGAGAGCCTGAAGCTTCTTAAAGAAGAAAAAAGCAATGCTCCTCAGAATCATGTGTGGGGAGGAGCATGGTTGGTAGCCCTCTCACCTCCTGCCTGTCCTGATCTCTTGCAGCCCGCAGGCTCCACTGGGAGCTCCGTGACCACCCCTCCCCCGCTTGTACGGGGCACCCAGAACATTCCTTCCGGCAAGCCATCACTTCAGGTCAGTGTTTACTCTGCATCGTGCTCCTGAGCAGCCCTGATCCAGTTTCTGCAAAAGGCCACTTACTCCTTCTCGTAAGACTAGGGTGAGGCCTTCCGTGGGAGCCCCCCGCCAGTCACACTTGCGTCCCCATACCCAAACCAGCCCCTGTTGACATCGTGAGTCACACAGACGCTTGCAGGGCCCCTCCCACGGCTGCCTCTAGTGAGACTGGAGAGACAGCCAAGATCCTGGACATGCTGGGCTCCCGCTTCAGCCCGACTGTGAGCCTGTCACAGCCTCCTCTGCCCACAGGGTGCGATGGGCAGAGCTCCCACCCCAGCCATAGGACGGAGGTCAGGCCAGGCCCACTTGCCCTCACTCAAGCCAGAGACCGCAGCTCAGACCAGCAGGCGGGTAGTAGTGATCCCAGTTAGCTAACTTCTCGCCATCGGGGTGCCCGAGTCCTGAGTGAGTCCGGGTTGGCCTGGCTCTTGTTGGGAGTCTGTGTTCCTCATTCTTTTGTGTGCTTAGAATAAGTAGACATTTTAGCTTTTTTCTACCACTACCATCTTGGTGGGTATGCGTATGTACCTTTATGAAAACAACAAACCTGTTTAAAAAGCCGTGTAAGGTCTGAGGGTTGGTGTTGTTGACAGACCTCTTCAACTCGGATGCCTGGCAGTGTCATCCCACCACCCCTGGTCCGTGGCGGGCAGCAGACGTCCTCAAAGTTAGGGCCTCAGGCGAGCTCCCAGGTCGTCATGCCCCCACTCGTCAGAGGGGCCCAGGTGAGCAGAGCATGGGCTTATGGAGCAATCCCAAGCAACTATCCCTCTCGCAAGAATGGCCCCAGTTCTCAGACTGGGGCTCTTTCCCCGAGTCTCACTTTATTGTCTTCTCATTGTCTTGTCTCTGCCCCACACCCCGACAGCAAATCCACAACATCAGACAACATTCCAGCGCAGGGCCGCCGCCACTCCTCCTGGCTCCCCGGGCGTCTGTGCCCAGTGTGCAGATTCAGGGACAGAGGATCATTCAGCAGGGCCTCATCCGTGTCGCCAACGTCCCCAACACTAGTCTGCTCGTCAACATCCCACAGGTGAGTCGTGCAACAGGCAGTCCAGTCCCATGGACTGCGGTGCTGTAGTTCCTGGGACCCTTGTTGGGTCATGAAGGTTGTGGATAGGAGTCTCCTGTTGCCTTCTGCCGTCTAACAGAGGCAGATAACTGCTGAGAGGGTGAGGGTGGGGTCACCAGAGGCTCCCCCTTCCCCTCCACCCACCCCCTCCCTCTTTGCCACCGCTGCCAGGCGCAAGCACGTGAGGGGAATGTCTGCAGATGTCCCTTCAGTGCCAGTGCATCTATTTTTAGCCGCGTGTCCCTTCATCTCTGTACAGAGCTTCTGAGAGGGTGAGGGTTTGTTCCCACCTAACAGAGTGGGGGAAGATGGAGCCAGGGGCGGCAGGCTGAAGATCCTTATTGACAGAGGAAGTGACTGGGTCCGCACGAGCTTTTGTTGATGTGCGAGTTAGCTTCTCTTCCTCCTCTGGCATGGCTCATCCTTGCCTGCCTTTCTCAGATAAGATCATGGCCAGCTGTGCTCTTCTGAGGTCAGGTTCAAGTACAGTGCTGCTGCCGCATGGGGGCGTGCGGGGCAGGCCGTTTCGTCCACCCCATAGACGCTGACCAGATCTCCGCTGTGTGTCACCCTGTGCTCGCGTCATGAGGACGGCAGCCAGGCAGGCAGTGGTGATCCTGCGACTCTGCTCCCCGAGGGGCCAAGGGGGACGGCAAGGGGAACAGTGAAGAGCTGGCAGGCCAGAGGACCGGTGGCCAGGTCAAGGTGCTGCGGTGGCATCCTCTGTACTGGGGAGTCTCACTCCCCTGTGGAGACCCCTTGGGCCAGTGTCATGAGCTCCCTGAGGCCCACAGCCTATTGCATACCAGTTGTGAGGTGTGTGCATTTTCCTGGGGATAGTGTACACAGCTTTCCTATTTCCAGAAGGGTCTTCAGTTCCGTAAAGCTTAAGGGCACTGGCATGGTCCGCTCCCAGTTTGGGGGAGAGCATTTGAGTGTCGGGTGGCAAGTGGGCTGGAGCGAGGAGATGGTGGAAGGTCAGCCAGCAGGGTCCAGAAGATGGTGAGTAATGCAGGAGCAGTGAGGATGGAGAAGCGTGAAGGGTGGGGGCACACAGAGGTACTCATGAGGGAAATGCCGTTGATGCCACAGTCAGCCACCTTTGCGACCTTTTGAGGAAGGGGGCCACCCAGACCCGTGCTGGAAGGGGGACCAGGCTGTAGTGACAGGACAGTGGCCATGCGCCTGGGTGCGGGGGGTTGCCAAAGGGGTACCCACTGTGATGGTGATGGCTTTATGAGTGTCCTCAGTTGATAAGAGTTTAGCAGATTACAGATTTTTAAGTTATCTGGATCAGCTAAACTTCAGCAAGTTATTTGTAACATTGGTCATCTCAGAGCAGTTGAGTTTATAATGTCTATTCTTCTGTTGCTTGTTGATGTCAGGCAGCTCTGAGTTACTTTTAGGGACTTGTTAGTGTAGCTGATGGTTCAGGTTAATTTTGATAAGGACTTAGCATAGCTAATGGTACAGACTGTGGGGTTCTCCTCAGGGTGCGCCCCTCAAGCACGCTGACCAGGGTCATTGTCTCCCCAAAGCCCTCCCCAGCATCGCTGAAAGGAACAACAGCCACTTCTGCTCAGGCCAACTCCACCCCCACCAGTGTGGCCTCCGTGGTCACCGCTGCGGATTCTCCAGCCAGTCGGCAGGCAGCCGCCAAGCTTGCACTGCGCAAACAGCTGGAGAAGACACTGCTTGAAATCCCCCCACCCAAGCCCCCTGCCCCTGAGATGAACTTCCTGCCCAGCGCTGCCAACAACGAATTCATCTACCTGGTCGGCCTGGAGGAGGTGGTGCAAAACCTGCTGGAGACACAAGGTGAGCAGGCCATGGGCCCAGGGCTGCTTTCTGTCTTGAAGCTGAAGTTTCCATCTTGTGAGTTGTTCCCGATGCATAGTGCATGTGGACACGTTGCTGTGTACGCACGGCTGTCTCGGGGCACATTGTGGATGATCTCTTGCCATCGGTTCTTCACTGGCTCTGAGGTTTAGATAGTTTTTAAGTTTCCCTTTGAGCGCAGTTGGCTCACAGTGTTGTGCTGGCTTCTCTGCTGCACAGCAAAGCGAGTCAGTTGTACGTCTGTCCTCTTCTTAGGTTCTGTTCCCATGAGGGTCACTAGAGAGAGCTGAGGAGTTTCCCATGCTCTGTGGTGGGTCCTTATTAGTCATCCATTTCATGTATAGTAGTGTGTGTATATCAGTCCCAGTCTGTTTATTATTCCTCCCATCCTAGATCATTTCTTAAATGTACAGTGGGCAGCTTCTTTCTGATGGGGCCTCCTCTGAGAGTTGGGGAAAGCTTTGCAGAGCGCTGAGTCCCCACACTGGGGGAGGGACACCTGTGCCTCCAGCTTCACTTCATTACCCTCTCTGGAAGTGGTCTGGAAAGAGCACATACGGGTTAGTGAGGAGAAATGATGCTGGAAAGTAGGAAGTCAGGTTTGCCCCCAGGGAGTCACCAGCGGATGCTGAACTGAGGGCTCTTCTGTCCTTAAATTGAGCGTGTGGTGACGCCGATTAGCTAGCCAGCCTGGATCTCCTCCCCACGTGCTCTCATCAGCTGCTCCATGCTGAAGAGGAGACAGAGCGGTAACCCTCCTCAGGGCCGGGGATGGCCGGGTGGACTGCACTGGAGGAGCTGTGGGCCCCCCGCCGGGCCCAGTGCGGAGAGGTGTGGGCTCTGACACAGCCTGGACGTGTCTGCACTCCTGTCATGACTCCTTTGGGATGAGGTCCAGTTGGCAAAAGAACTGCTGCCAGGCCTGTGGTGTGGCAGCAGCAGCCTGCAGTGCCCGCCGGTCTTGCACTGGCCTGTGCTGGGCACCTTCTCTCCCAGACTGGTCTGTCTGCGCTTATTCTCGTCAGGGCTTAGTCTCTCTCCCCTGAGGCCTGCCCGCGGTGGCGCTGACACCGAGGGCAGCTGCCGCTGCCTGGGCAGCAGGGGCAGCCTCCTCTGGGGGTGGACGTGTGCAAGGAGAAGCTCCAGGCTGGGGCCCGGAGCTGGGGCCCATGGTGGACCCCGGGGCCTCGGTCCACTTGGGCAGGTGGCGTCCTGTCTGTTCTGTGGAGTGGCAGGAGCTCCCTAGAGTCGGATCCCCCGCTGCAGCCCCTCAGCAGGTAGAGGCAACTTGGCCAGGCCCCAGGCAGGATGGGGAGGCCGGGGTGTCTCCACATCATGGTCCATCAAGCCAGGAGGCTGTTGAACTTTGAGTGCTGGCCATGGAAGAGGAACAAAATGCAGAGTTACCCCTTAATGCACATTGGATGGCACATAAATGTGTGTGTGTGTGTGTGTGTACACACGCTGAATAAAGTATGACCCCACACCTCAGCAGGAGCTTTTTGTGGCTGCCCTGGTCACCCCTCTTGGAGTTGGGTGCCACCAGGTTCCCATTTCCCAGGGCAGCTGACCAGCTGTGCACAGTCACTTAGCTCCCTGGGCTGTTTCCTCTCGAGATGGGGGGTAGGGGTGTCCCCTCAAGAGCTTGTTGTGCAGCCCAGATGCCCTGATGGGCACAGGACGCCAGGCACAGTGTCTGGCGGGAGCACTTCTAGATGTCTGGTCCTCGTGTACCTCGCCCCCTGGCAAGGGTGCCGTCACCTTAAAAGGTGGGGCCTGTGGGACTTCCCTGCTGGCCCAGTGGTTAAGACTCTGAGCTCCCAATGCAGGGGGCCCAGGTTCGATCTCTTGTCAGGGAACTAGATCCCACATGCTGCAACTAAGACCTGGTGCAGCCAAATAAATGAATAAATTTAAGAAAGAAAAAAAAAAAGTGGGGCCTGGAGTGGCCACCGTCTCCCTCAGAGCTGATGCAGTGCAGGAGGGTGGGAAGTGTCTGCTCCGTGGGTAGGGAGGATGGCCACGAGCAGCCAGGTGTCTGAGAGCTGGTGTCAAGGATGCTGAGCCCACAGTGCTTTCTGAAGTGCATCAGCGTTGCTTCTGCCGGCAGAGCTTCTGGAGGCCGGCCCTGCATCTGCACACAGTGGCACCCGCATGTGTGCCGGGTGAGCGAACGTGGGGCCCCTGGCCCAGGGCGCTGCCTGGGCTCTGCCAGCGTGCACGTCCCTCCTGGGGGGGTGAGGGCTCTGGCCGTGCTGTTCCCGCTCCTCCGACGTGAGCTGCCTTGTCTGCCCCTGCAGCAGGCAGGATGTCGGCCGCCGTCGTGCTCTCCCGGGAGCCCTACATGTGTGCACAGTGCAAGACAGACTTCACGTGCCGCTGGCGGGAGGAGAAGGGCGGCGCCATCATGTGCGAGAACTGCATGGCGTCCAACCAGAAGAAGGCGCTCAAGGTGGAGCACACAAGCCGCCTGAAGGCCGCCTTTGTGAAGGCGCTGCAGCAGGAGCAGGAGATCGAGCAGCGGCTCCTGCAGCAGGGTGCCGCCCCCGTGCAGGCCAAGGCTGAGCCCACCAGCGCCCCACACCCCGTGCTGAAGCAGGTGAGAGCCGGGGCGGGTGCCAGAGCTGCGTGGGGGGTGGACACGGATGCTGCCCTCCGGGAGAGGGGCCTTGCTCCTCGCTCCCTCGGCAAGGAGCTGTCGCTGGCAGGCAGGATGTTCTGGCATTCTCTCCCACACTCGGCGATCATCTGCCTGGTTGTTAACTGTGCGTCTAAATTGCATTTAATGGTGGCTGTTGGTGGTGAAAATACTAATTTGCAGTTTCTTTAGATTTTGTAGCTTTCACTCGCAGTGTGCCGGCTGACAAGTACTTCTTGTCTAAAAGGGCTTTTCTGAAAGCCACACTGAGCTGCAAAAGGGGCGTTGGAAGAAATGTTCTAGCTAAATTAAGGAGAGAAGCAAGTTTGAAATCAAGTTTTTTTGGCTGCCCTTTTTTTTTAATGTTTTGTTTTCCCACCCCTTGTAGACCCAAAGCTCCCTGTTGGCAATTTTTTGTGTCCTTGGAAGTCATTGATAATTTACTAACAAACTCATCTTCTCAAGATCCCCGTGTAGTGGGTGGCAGTGCTGCCCTCAGGAAGTTGCTGTCCTTGTGGGGACTCGGCCTCGCACGGCCATAGCTGCTGCCCCTCGGTCACGTGGTCGCCTGAGGTCAGCCTCTGGACAGTGCTGACCTCGCTTTCAACCCCCATTTGTGTAGGTCATAAAACCCCGGCGTAAGTTGGCGTTCCGCTCAGGAGAGGCCCGCGACTGGAGTAACGGGGCTGTGCTACAGGTCAGAACTGGGGCGCCGGGAGCCCCCCGCACCGCACCACCAACCAGCCCTCACGCCCCCGACCGTGACCACGTCAGGCGCCAACTGTCACGCTGCCTGCATCCGTCTGTCTGTCTGTCTCTCGCTCTCTTTTTCCCTTCCTCCTTCCCCTCCTGCCTTGGTGCAACTTACCTAGTCTCCTGATGTTGGACTTCCAGGGATCCCGTGTGGGTGGGAAGAGGTCAGCTAGATCAAGGAGAGGCTGCGCTGAGCACCGTGCCCTCCGCGGCCCCCTTCCCTTTGTGAGCTGTGGCCCTCTCTCTCCCCCGCAGGCCTCCAGCCAGCTGTCCCGGGGCTCAGCCACGACGCCCCGAGGCATCCTGCACACATTCAGCCAGTCGCCCAAACTGCAGAACGCAGCCTCAGCCCCCACCCTCGTCAGCAGGACAGGCAGACATTCCGAGAGGGCTGTGAGCGCTGGCAAGGGAAGCACCACCTCCAACTGGAAGAAGGCGCCCCTGAGTACAGGTGGGTGGCCCCGCAGGGGCTCAGCGAGGACCTCCCCAGGGGCGGGCCCATCCCATCCTTACTTTTAACATGCATGCACATGCCCAGGTTGTGGCACCAGGGGTCCTGAACCCGTACCTGCCTTCTTAAGAGCAGCTGCCTCCGAGACTACAGCCTCACCTCTGTTCACTGACTAGGACACCCTGAACTCGTGGTAGCCCTGGATCAATACTAATCATGCTTGGTATCTCCACCCCCATACCTAGACTCTCAGCTCTTGACCCAAAATGTAAGACAGAACCAGTTCAGGCAGTGCCCGCCTCACCCCTCCTCCTTCCTGCCACAGAGAATGTTTGTTTCTGCTGTTACAGCGTACCTTTCATGGTCTACTGACTCAGTGTCCTTCATCCCCCACTCTGTGGGGAACCCCTGCCCGCTTGGACAGGTCAGATGGTACAAAGTGCAGGATAGAATGAGAAAGGAGGCAGGAGGACGGGACCCTGAGGAGGTGGGCAGCAGAGACCTGTGAGGAGCGGGCATCTCAGACACAGCTTGGGGAGGCGGAGACCCTTAGGGGGTCACTCTCCAGTCTGCCAGAGCTCCACCTTCCCATGGTTGTCCTCGGGCCACCCCCACACCACTTTTCCTGTTTTTCCTATTCTTGCCCTGGCCTTGAGATGAATGTTAAATATTTCTTGTGTCCATCAGTAACTGGAAAGTGAAATGTCAGCCCAGAGGGCTGAGAGGCGGAGATGGGTGAGAGCGCTCTCCCATCTCCCTTCCCAGCCCACCCCCGGGTCCCTGTAGGAAGAAGAGGCACCATCGTGAGAATCCATCTCAGTAGTCAGAACTGGGAGAGCAGGACTCTCGGTGGAAACACAACACAGAAAAGCCGGCTGTGTGTGCGGCTGACCATGCGTTAGAAACACACCTGAAGAGCAGAGCCTGCTGCAGGGTGGGGAGGAGTTATCCAACTGCAGCAGAATCCAGGCCTCCTGGAGGGCAGAGAGCATTTGTGAACATGCCAGACAGAGATACTTTTGCTCAGCACGTTTGAGATGGCAGCAAAGAACTCATAGGCTGGTCAGAAAATTCCTTTTTTGGGAAATCTGAAAATATATGAAATAAGTGGGAAAAGTCAAATAGGAGACTACACATGTGTGCACAGTGATGGCAGCCATGGGAAAACTGCACACTGCAGGTAGCGTTTGAAAGAGAAAATGAGGGAATTAATAGTTGCTGTCTTCAAATACTTGTACGATTAGATATGAAAGTGTCATGGCTTAGGAGCATGCTTCTGGTTGCCCTGGGTTTCTGGATGGTGGTTTGGGGAAAGCTGGGCAGGACCTGGCAGGACCTCCAGGTTTCTGGGGCGCTGGCCTCGAATGCGCATGGAGGGTTCTGTGGTGCATTCATTTTGGAAGTCTTGTTCCACAGAAGAGGTTAACCCACCCAGAATACCTGGTGCCACAGTGACTCGGGTCCCTGCTGCTGCCGGGGCCTTGGGACAGTGTTTGGCTGCATGCCAGCCCAGAACCCAGAGTGTGCTGGTTGGAGGCTTTCAGGGGTTCCCCCAGCTGGCTTCGTGCCACCTGTGCCCAGCGGGCCCAGCCAAGGCGGGGGTCTTCCCCGGAGCCTCCCCTGACCGGGCCGTTACGGCCTGTTGCTCTGTCCTGTCACAGGCGGGGCCCTCGCATTTGTCAGCCCGAGCTTGGCGGTGCACAAGACCTCCTCAGCCGTGGACCGCCAGCGGGAGTACCTCCTGGACATGATCCCGCCCCGCTCCATCCCCCAGTCAGCCACGTGGAAATAGTGCGAGCCAGGCCCAGTGGAGAACAGGCTCCCTCCTCCCTCCCACCTGGCCCCACCACCCTCTGCTCGGGAAGACACCCCGCTCCCCAAGAGGGCGAGCGCGCGCAGGCCACGCTGCAGAAGTGAGAGCTCCAGTCTTGGCTACGAAGTCTCGTCGCGTCACGGAGGGACGCGTCACAGGTGGACCAGGATTCATACTGGGGGACCTTTCCCGTGGGCTTCCTTCCTTTCTTTGCCTTTAGTTTGCCCAACACCAGCAGAAAAGCGGACCTCGGGGCCGGCTCTGCTCCTGGCCCTCCCCTTCAGCCCCTGGCAGGGCTCGTGGACGGCGCGCCCAGACACTGTGACACGCCCGGGCAGCGGTGCCCGGCTGCAGAAGTTGAGCGGAGCATTGTTTTGTTTTGCTTTGCCCCCGTCTTAGCCTCCTAATCTCTGACTGCCTTTCTTCATGGCAATCCTTAGGTTGACACATTTTTTAAAATCACCTCATGATGATGGAGTTTAACGTAAACTGTGCAGACCCAGGGTTCCCTGCCAAGCGTGACCCCGGTGACCCCCCCAGCCCTCACTCCAGCAGAAGGCCTCTGCTGCTGCTCATCCCGGAGACACCCTCCGACCTTCCACACTTAAGCAGAAGAACAAACTGCAACTCAGACCCACCCAGAGAGCTGGGACCCTGGAAGCCAAGTGCAGCCACCCGAGTAGGGGGGGGCGAATTGGCAGCCACGCCCAGACCCTGAGCAGGAAGTCGGAGGGGCCGGCTGTTGTGTTCTGTGTTGTTGTGGTGATTTATTTTATTAAATTTTTCCTTTTCTTTTCCTCCTCATTTTGATGGACAGCATCCTAAGCCCTGGCCTGTGCTCCTGTCGGGTGTGTCTGCGTGGGGAGGCGCCCCCACGCCCCCCAGACTTCAGGGTTTACGTTTGGGTCTAGTTTAGAACCTCCCTTAAAAAGCAGGGCCTTGCTGCCAGGGTTTGCCTTCAGACTTTTGTTTTTAATCCTCTAGCGTCTACAGAAATGTTTTACAAAGGATCAGGTCTGCTCTTAGTTGTGTTTTGTTTTCTCCCACTCCTTAAAAATCAGTCCATGAGGAAAGGTAGAAGCTGTTGTGTGTGTGTGCTGCACATGGGCCAGCTCTGTGCAAGTGTGAGGATGTCACATGTGCATGCACACACGTGTGGAGATGGGGTACGCTGCTCCTCACTTCAGCCCCAGCCCTGGTTCTCCTGTCCATGCAGTTAGGGACTTAATTTAAAATCCTTATTTTGTAGGGCCACCTTCCTCAGATACACTGCTGCGCCGTTCTAATAAAGGCTCATTTAACCCCCCTCATGCTGTGTGAACATCAGTGTTTAGAAGACATTTTTGACATGCAATAGAAGACCTAGTTTTGCAGAGCATTTGAATTTTTTGTTGTCTAAAGCCCTAAATTTCTCACTGATTTTTGTTTTGAGTGCATAATGAAGGTGGCCTGAAGGAGGGGAGGGCTGGAGAAGGGTGGCTTTCATTCCAAGATCCAGGGATTTGGGGAAAAGGGGAAATTGACCTTTGGGGGAGGGGGGAGTGGGGAAGGGTGTGTTTTTACACCAAAAAATCAAGAGTATGCAAGCATTTCTATTCCTCGCATTTTTCTGTGTGCCTGGCAAATAAATACCTGTCTTATACTACTCTGAGCTGTTAGCTCTCTCTGTTCGATGACACGGGCCAAAATTCCCAAATCCTACAAGAAGGAGTGCCCAGCTGGCCGAACCGGGCAGACTGACCTCAGTGCTATGCAGCAGCTCAGGCGTCTTGGCCAGGGTCACCTCAGCACTGGGGGCGCCCAGGGTTGCTGCTCCCCCACGGGGGTTGACTGGGTCTGTTGACTCCGGGGCTCAAAACCAAGCCACTCGCATTGGCCCCGGATCCTCTCCCCATCATTCTCCACCATGCTCAGGATCCACCTCTCCTCACCTCCTCTGGCCAGACTTCTCCAGGCTACTGACTAGACCTTGTGAGCTGAGTGCAGACTGACCGCCACAGGCAGACGCGGTGGCTGGGCCCTGACCCGTTCTCTGCCTCCTCCAGCCCAGCATTTGCAGGAACATTCCCATGGGTAGGACTTACTGTGACATAAATGTAGCTTTTTAAAAAGGGATCAAGAAAAAAAGGGGGGGATCCAGAAGGTGAGATGCCTTAATCTTGATTCATTTCCCCTGTCTCAAAACTTCTATCCCCCCTTTTTTCTTTAGTTTCCCCTTTGCATTGTCACTCCTATAAGCCTCAAGTGCATGATTCTGTGCTGAAATTTATAATGTTATTAAGAAAGAGCATTAAGTACCTCTCGAGTATGGGAAGGATGTTGACGTTAAAGGTATTCTCCCAGCCCCAAAGCCCACCCTTCAAAATGGGCCATGGTTCTGGGATTCTGCAGGATGAGAGGATCTGGTTCCCAGGAGAACCAGAGAACTTGGGAGCCCCCAGTCCCAAATGACAGTTGTAACTTCCCAGTAATCTGTGACAGGAACCCCCAGTGGCACCTGGAAACTATTCAGAAAGTCGGCTGTTATGTGGACTGGGGTGCAGGGTTCACCAGGCTCCCTTCCCTATCTGAAATGGCTGTGTGCGGAGGCCCGTGGGTGCCCACACAGGTAACTGCGTCCACTCAGAGCTGCCCATGGCTCTGGCCATCCCGACTGTTGTGGGGACCCTACTCTTCAGTGTCCCAGGTGTATCTCTTGAGACCCACACCTTTGACAAGGTCAAGAGTGACTGCTCTGGGAGATAGGGGTATGGTGGCGGCTCTGGTCTGGAAGTGAAAGGTCTCTGGTGCAGAGGGAATGAAAGAGGCGACGCCCCCACATGGCTCCTGAGTGGCCCACAAGTCACTCCTGTGGCTGGAGAGACGCAGGGAGGGGGTTTCTATATAAATCATACATTCTCATCACAGGCGTGAATAATGGAAAGACGGTCCTTGCTGCTCTGCCATAGGGTTTTTCTTTGATGCCTAGTTATGCTGCACATGGCGTTTGCCTAAAGAAGTTGGACTGAGTTGTTTTTTTTTTAAAGGACAGCTAAAGTTTTATAATCCTTGAAGAGTAATAGTCACACCAATGTAGGGTATTTGGGAGGTGGTTTGTTTTGATTGGGGGGAGGAGGTTGTCACTTGTATTTATTGTGACTCTAAGTCTTTGATAAGAATGTTAAAAAACAAAGTGACCACCAAACCGGCATAGAAGTTCTAATAAATAAAGACGCTGGAATCAATGGCTATACGTTGTGTCATGAAGTTTTAGAATCTGAAGGACAATAAAGAAATGGATGATGTGTTGGTTGTATTTTTCTTTTTGACTGCTCGGCTTTGGTATCCTGCATTTTCCTCCCAGCTTTGGGGCAGCTTGAAGACTTAGGATGGCAGGGTGATCCTTTCTTAACAGCAAAGGATCGGACACTTGTTTCTTGGGTTTTCTTTCAGATCTCACTTGCCATGGGGATTTTAGTCTTCCCCAACTGGATGTTTCAGTTGAATTGCTCAGTCATGTCTGACTCTACGACCCCATGGACTGCAGCACTCCAGGCTTCCCTGTCCATCGCAGAGTCGGATACGACTGAGTGACTGAACAGAACAGAATGAAACTGGATGCTGGGGCTTCCCAGGTGGCACTCGTGGTAACCCATCTACCAGTGCAGGAGGCATAAGAGATGTGGGTTCAATCCCTGGGTGAGGAAGATCCTCTGGAGGAGGGCATGGCAACCCACTCCAGTGTTCTTGCCTGGAGAATCCCATGGACAGAGAGCCTGGTGGGCTATATGGTCCCTTGGGTTGCGAGGAGTCAGACATGACTGCACGCAAGCACGCACCCAACTGGATGCTACAGTCTTACCGCTGGGTGGTGCTTTGTGGCCTGTTTACCCACAGGGCCAGGGGAGTGCATGAGGTGAGGATGCAGTGAATTCTGCCCTTTGGCTTGGGTTCTAGCCATCAACAGCCTCCAACCCAGAGTGGTGGGCTTTTCTGGCTCAACATTGGGTGTCTGCTGCAGCACAGTGATGGTGCAGTGTGGGAGCCACCTGGCTGGCTGTGAAATGAACAATTCCTGGTGCAAGTTTGTTTTCAAAGGTTGACACATTGTTTCAAAGTTTTACTCACATTTTACTCACAAAAGGAAACCTATGAGCACTTTGAACTCCAATATGCATAAAATGTCACCTTGTTTTCCTAGGTGCTTTCGTTCATTTATTTATTGCTGCCGCTTGTTGTCGGGGCATCTCTGCCTCCAGCCTAGGGTCTGTCTGACATCCCTCCCCTGCGGCCATGGCCAGCCTGGTCTCACCTGGGCAAGGCACAGAACTGGAACAAGACACTACCGGACGGAACTCAAGCCTGACGCCTGTGGCACATGCTGACTGCACCCACGCACCCCAACACTGACAGAAGCCCACGTTTGGGGTTCCACAGGCCCCTCTGCAAGGGAGTCTGCTGGGTCAGGCACCCAGGCTCCTCCGTGGAGGGAGGGCCACCAGCCTGGTCCCTGAGACCCTGTCCCCTCTTCACTGAGTCACGGGTGTGGCCATGAGGGGAAGGACCCCCAGGCCCACTGCTTACACACAGGATGAGAGGGCACAAAAGGGCATGTGCCACGCCCCCGTCATTGGGATCACACCTTGTGAGGAGGGTGAGGAGGGAAAGAACAGGGCCTCTTGAGAGGTGACGTTTTTCAGGCCAAGTCTTGCATGAGGAGAAGGGAAAAGCACTGGGAGTGGTGTCAGCCTGTGCAAATGCTCAGAGGTGAGACCACGCAACGCAGGTTGAGGACAGAGGAGAGCAGTGTGACTGGACCTTGGGGGCAAGGGCAAAGCATGTGGGTTTCATTCTGAGTGAGCAAGACATTTCCCTCTTACCCTGTTTCTTGCTCTGTAAAATGAGGCGGTTGGGACCACACCCTTATTTGAAGGGAGTGGAGGGAGAGCTGGCACATCCCCAAGGCACCTGAGAGCCATGGAGGGTGAGGGAGCAGGGGTGGGGTACCGTCAGACCCAGAAACTGGCCACTCTTGTCAGGGACTTGGGCTCTGGGGGAGGCAGACAGGGTAAGCACCTAGGGAGCTGTTTCTCGTACACCGGAATGACAACAGCCACTGTCACTAAACTCAGTAACCTCATCACAAGCAAAACAACCCCCAGCCTTCCCCAGACCCAGTGGGGTCCCTCTCCAGACACACCCCTTATACCTCTCTGCCTCCTTTCCCTCTCCATTCCAGCTACAGCAGTTCTAACATTACTCAAACACATCGGCTCCATCCTCTCTTGGGAACACTCCTGTTTCCAGTGTTTGATTCCTTCCCTTCAGTTCCTCCTTGCTCACCCCCACCTGGCATTTAGCACAACTTACAATTATTTTATCTTCACGCCATTCTTTTACTTTCCACTTGCTCTCTTGCTGGGAGCACGGATGGATCCAAGCCACTTGGCTGTGTCCCAGTGCCTTGCACACAGCAGCTGCTCAAAAAATGCCTGCGTGAACACAGCATAAGTGGAACCACGAGTGGGACAGGGGCTGCAGGAGGGAGGGGACGTGTACACCTATGGTCGATTCGTATTGGTGAATGGCATGAAAACCATCGTACTATTGTAAAGTAACTGTTCTACAATTAAAAAAGAATGAACCCGGCAGACTCCGTTGCCTCACCAAGGAAGGGGCCTAACCCCTCCTTCACCAAGGAGAGCTTCCAACACCTCCCCACCCCACTTCAGACGTATCGGGGTGCCAATCCTGGCTGTTCTTGGGCAAGTGTGGGCCTCAATTTCCTCTTTTGTAAACACTTTCTGTCTGGACAGGCGCCCCCGGTCCCTTGCTGTCCCATCCTTAAACACCAGAAAGGTGCTGGGGTCCTTGCTCCCCAATCCAGCACCTCCTTTCCCAGGGCCATTACATTGCTGAGGATGACGCCAAGGACCCTTCGAGTCTGCCCAGGATGGGGAGCCCGAAAGGTCTCTGTTCGAATCCTCCTAACTCCCTTTTCAGACCTGGAGCAGGAACCTCCACAAGTTTCTCTCAAATGGGGTGCCCGTGCCTGCCTTTCCCCGGGGAGTGATCCCCTCCCCACTGCTCCATAAAAGGGGGCCATTGCTAGAGCTAGGTGTGAGAAAGCGAGTTTATTGCAAGTTCCAAGGAGGGCAGCGCCTGGAGCGCGCCTTCCCTCACCGGTACGCGAGGCTGGCTGTGGATGGACGTCCTCTGCGCGCGTCCGCTCGCCAGCAGCTTCTCCAAGCAGCCACCGCCCACCGCGTAGCGGTCGCTCACCCTGCACCGGTGCAACGTTTCTGTCTCCTCTCATCTGGCCCCCTCCTGGGGCCTTCTCGCCGGGAACCGAGGGAGCGCATGCGCCCTCCTGCTCTTGGGATCGTGTTGTAGTTGAATTCCAAACAGGGGCGAGTGCGGCCCCCGGCGTCGAAGAAGTAGGGAAGGGGGAAGGGCGCGTGCACAGCGGTGCGCGGCGGCTTCGCGGAACTACGGAAGCGCGCTTCTTGCGCGTGCCCTGCTCTTGCGCAATGCTCGGGGCGGCGGGAACGGTGGGAACCCCGGCTTCTAGCCGGAGTCCCCCGCACGCAGCCAGCCATTGCGCGCTACTTGGCCCGCGGAGGGCCTGGCCGACGGACTGAACTGCAGCAACTCGGCAATCAGTGCTTTGCAGCGCTCGGACAGCTCGAGGCCGTCGGGGTAGAGAACGCCGCGCTTCTGGCGTCGGGGCAGGCCGGCGATGTCCGAGTCGTCGAAGGGCATACAGCCGGTGACCATGACGTAGAGCACGACGCCCAGACTCCACACGTCGTACTTCTTGGGGTCGTAGGGGATGCCCAGCAGTACCTCGGGCGACGCGTAGGCGGCAGAGCCGCAGTAGGTGGTGCTCAGATCGGGGTATCCGTGAGCCTGACGGCCGAAACCGAAGTCGGTGAGTTTGACGCGACGCTCATCAGGGCTCAGCAGCACGTTTTCGCACTTGAGGTCGCGGTGCACCAGGTGGTGGTCGTGTAGGTAGCGCACGGCACCAGCGATCTGCGCGAAGAGATCGCGAGCCTGCCCCCCGGGGATGCGCCCGTTTCGCTGCACTGCCTGCAGTAGGTCGGTGGCGGCCGCCTCCATCACGATGTACAACTTCCCGTTGCACACCTCGATGAATTCGAAGACATGCACGATGTGTGGGTGCCGCACGCCCCTTAGGATGGACAGCTCGCGTGGCAGGAACTTGTTAACAAAGTCGGGCGGTGCGCGCCGCCTGTCCACCACCTTGATGGCCACTGTGCCCTTGTATTTCTTGGACGTAGCCACCTTTACCTTGGAGTAACTGCCCTCTCCTATCGTGCGGCCCAGCTTATAGCCGAGTTCGCTCAGAAGCTTGTCGCCCGACATGGTGGCGCCTGGGGCGCGTGGGGAGAAGGAGGCGGCTGCTGTCGGGGGGCGGCCGGACTCCGATCTCGGGCCTAACCCATGGCGCTTGGCACCTGCACACCCGCACCCCCATGTGCCCACTCCCCGGCCCCCGCCTCTGCGGTGCCTTTTATTGCCCAGGTAACAATTTCTGCCTTGTGAAGTGACCGCGGGCGTCACCCTGCCTCGGGGTGGGGGTGGGGGGCCTGACCCCCCCTCCCCACCCCGTGGTGCTCTCCCCTAGGCCCTACGGCTTTGTGACTCATAATCGCTCTGAATGATCCAGTTCCCGATGAGAGGACACTAGCAAGGCGTCTCGACCGTCACGGGAGTGGAATCCGAGCCTGGGGTTGGGGCGGCTCCTCAGGAGTCCGAATCTGAGCAGCAGCCGTCCCCGAACTTCGTGTAATCCAGTCCTAACCCTGCAGAGCCCTGGGCTGCCCGCAGGGGGCCCCAAGGGAGGAAAATGGGATGATACCTGGCTCCCTCGGGAGCCTGGGGTTTCTAACTGGCCTCACATTGCCCCAGAGGGAAGGCGAGTGGGAAGGTCCACTCTGGCGACCAGACGGGCTGCAGGCTTCAGCACCGACCGAGCCATGCCTCCGTCTAGGAGAAGAGAAAATAAGGACTTTTTGGTCGCAGCTTGGGCGCGCAGTTGATCCCAGGCCCCGCAACGGCGCTCTCGCACTAACTGGGGTAGGTGCAGCGGCACCCTATGTTTCCCAGTCGGGCCCGAGACCTGCGCTGCAGCTTCCGCCACACTCAGCATGGTGTCGATCGCCGTTGCGTAACTTCCTCCTGAGACCGGAAGTGCAAGGTCCTGCAGGCATGGCGGCGTCGAAGGTGAAGCAGGACATGCCCCCGGTGGGGGGCTATGGCCCTATCGACTACAAGCGGAACCTTCCGCGTCGGGGACTGTCGGGTCAGTGTCGCTCTGCGCCGGGGTGTCAGGGTCTGGGCGTTCTAGGCACCGCGGCGGGGTCGTGACGCCAGGGAGTCTAGCGGGCCAAGGTTTCCCCGCGGTATGACAGGAGGCGGAGTCTTGGGATCCCCCAAAGCTTCAGTACTAACAATAATGAAAACTGCTGCAGTTTGTCGACCGTTTACTAAGCCCTTTGCTTCCTTCTCGTAACAGCCCAGGAGGTCGGTCCCGTTAATTATTTATATTTTACAATTCATTGATTAAACCGAGAGAGGGCTTCCCCGGTGGTTGAGCGGGTAAAGAATCCGCCTGCAATTCAGGAGACAGAGGAGGTGCAGGTTCGATCCTTGGGTCAGGAAGATTCCCTGGAGGAGGGCATGGCAACCCACTCCAGTATTCTTGCCTGAAAAATCCCACGGACAGAGGAGCCTGGCGGGCTACAGTCCCTACGGTCGCGAAGAGTTGGACATGACTGAGCGACTAAGCACAAACTGAAATTAGTGTAGCCCCCGCCTGGAGCCTTCCCGCACATTCCCGTTTCACAAGTAGGGAGACTGAGACCCGAGAGAGGATGCGACTCCCCACAGGGCCACCCAGAGTAAAGCTGGGGCCGAACCTGGATTACCCAGGGAATTTGAAAGATTTTTTTGGAGGGGTGGGGGGGCGGAAAAAAAGTTCTGCGCAGTGGTTCCTCGCTGGTGGCTCCCACCTGCAGGATATCCCAGAAATATGGATTCTTCAATTTGTCAAGGGCTCTAAATAACGTTTTAAAATTTTTTTATTGGGGTCAACACAAAAACATGTAAGAGAAAGTAAAAAACAGCCATACACTGCAGTCAAGATTAACAGAAAGAATGTCAACCAAGTTAAGAATGAATATTTTGCTGAAACTCATTGAGCTTTACATTTAAAACATGTGCATGTTTTGCGAATTATGCCTCAATTAAAAAGCAGAAAAAAATTCATGGTCATGATTTTGTTAAATGTTATAATTAAGACAGAGAAAAGTTAATGTTAGATTAAAAACTCAAGTATTCCCTTGCTCCCTACTGGCTTTTTTGTAATTTGGAACAAAGGTTGGCAAACTTTTTCTGTAAACAGCCAGGTAAGTATTAACTTTACCAACCTAAAAGTGTGCTTAGCCTGAGGACCATACAACAACAGTTACAGGTTAGATTCAGAGCACTGGGCACTGAACTCGAGACTCACTCCTAGGCTCAATGAATATGATGCGATCTGTCTCGTCTTTTCTCAAAATCTTAACTTAGCACCCAGGCTAGAACACTCTTCGGGTGCGTGGCACGAGTTCTGTTTATACATATGTACTTCTGTGGCCTGTGTCCAGACCAGGCCGCACAAGAACCGCAGCCCTTGAGTCTCCCTGGGCTTCCCGTAACCAGCATCTCTCTTATTTTGCAGGCCCACATGCGGCCTGTATCCTGCTCCTCTCAGCAGTGCTTGCTATGTGCCTCACATGCCCCTGCCTGCTCTTGGGTCTCCTACTCTCAGCCTTTACACCCGCTTCCCCTGTTGCACATCCAGACCACCTCAGTCTCTCCTGGCTACAGAGGGGTGAGGAATATAACCCTTTCTGAGGTGTGGTCTCTGTCCGTGTACCTGCATTTAGTGACTGCTGAGCGCGTCCTTAGTGCTGGGCTCTGTCCTGAGGAGCTCACACAGCTGAGACAGACGCGTTGCTTGTGATTTCCCATTGTGGCCCAGGATGATTGGCACCTTAGTGAGCCACAATGGGCGCGAGGACCTCTCTGAAAAAGAGTTGCCCAGGTAGAGGGAACAGCGGCTGTTCACTCTCATCCTGCACCCTGCCCTCATTTCTGTCCTCCAACCTTATCCACAGCTGCTTTCTCTCCATCGGTCTTGCTCTTGTCCAGGCACCGTGACCCCAAGCTTGGCACCCCCTCCCCTTTTCTCTGCCTGGACCACTCACTGCCAGCATGCTACAACGTGCCACCCGTGATCCACACAGCTACTGAAGTGACTGTTGCCCCCACCTTCCCCTGGTCTCTCACACGCCGCTCTCCTCACCCTCCCGCACCCAGTGAATGGCCCTTTTTTTCTGGTATCTTTAACGTTTTAATTGAGATTCACATGCCATACCATATAATCATCCATTTCATGTGAGCAGACTGATTTTTCGTCTGTTCCCAGTTGTGCAACCATTGGAACAATCTAACTTTACATTTTCATCACCCCAGAAGAAATGCTGTGCTGTGGAGCAGTCGCTCCGCATCCTCCCCCAGCCCCTGACAACCACAGGTCTGCTTCCTGCCTCTAGGGATAGGGATTTGCCTCTCATATAAATGGCATAGTTAATGATGTCTCTTTATGTCTCACTTTTCGCAGCATGTTTTTTGTTGTTGTTTGTTTATTTTTGGCTGTGCTGGGATTCCACTACGGTGTGGGCTTTTCTCTTCTCTGCGGTGAGTGGGGGCTACTCTCGTGGTGGTGCGCAGGCTTCTCATTGCGATGTTGTCTCTCGTTGCGGAGCGTGGACTCTAGGGTGCATGGGCTCGGCAGTCGCAGCGCATGTGCTCGGTAGTTGTGGCTGCTGGGCTCCAGAGCACACACTCAGTAGTTGTGCAGGGCTCAGTTGCTCCACGGCATGTGGAGTCTTCCCGGATCAGGGATGGAATCCGTGTCTCCTGCGTTGGCAGGCAGAGTCTTAACCACTGGACAACCAGGGAAGTGCTGTCAGCACGTTTTTAATGTATACGTTGTAGTATGCTTCAGTGCTTCCTTCTTTATTGTGGCTGAGTAACCTTGTATGGCGGGAGGTCTTGTGTGTCCATTTACTATTGGATGGACGTTTGAATAGTCTCCATCTTTTGACTGTTATGAACAGTGCTGCTCTGAACATGCTTGTATGGGTTTCTGTGTGAACATATGTTTCCTTTCTCTTGGGTGAAGTGGGGTTGCTGGGTCACATGGTAACTCCACATTTAACATTTTGAGGAACTGCTAAACTGTTTTCCAAATTGGCTATACCAAATTACATTCCCACCTACAGTGTATGGGCATTCCCATTTCTCTGCATCTGGACAACACTAATTGTTCTCCATTAAAAAAAAATTTTAGTCATCCTAGTGGGTGTGAGGTGGTATCTACTGTGGTTTTGATTTGCATTTCCCTAGTTACTAATGATGTTGAGCACCTTTTCATGTGTTTGCTGGCTATTTGTGTAGCTTCCTTGAAGAAATATCTATACAGACACTTGACACATTTTTAAATTAGGTGGTTAGTCTTTTTATTATTGAATTTTAAGAGTTCTTTATATATTTTGGATACCATTCCCTTATCAGACACATGATTTCCAAATACTTCCATCCTTGTCTTGTCAGCTTGTTGATAGTGTCACTTGCAGCACAAAAGTTTTACATTTCAGCAGTGTCCAATTCATCTATTTTTTTCTCTTGTCGCTTGTGTGGCCAGTGTCTAATCTAAGAAATCGTTGCCTTATCCTAGGTCACAGAATGACTTTGCTGTTTTCTAAGAGGTTTATAGTTTTAGCTCTTACATTGAGGTCTTTGATCCATTTTGAGTTAATTTTTGTGTATGGAGGGAGGGAGATGCACACTTTATTCTTTTGCATGTGGCTACCCAGTTGTCCAATTTGCTGAAAAGACTGTTCTTTCCCCATTGAATTATCTTGGCACCCTTGTCCACAATCAATTGACCATAAATGTGAGGGTTTATTTCTGGCCTCTCAGCTCTGTTCCACCGACGTACACGTCTGTCTTTATGCCAGTGCACACTGTCTTGTACACACAGCTGCGTGATAAGTTTGAAGAGTCCTCCAACTTTGTTCTTTTCCAGAACTATCTCAGCTGTTCTGGGCCCTTGCATTTCCACATGAATTTTCCAAGCTGCTTGTCGATTTCTGTGGGACTGTGGGGGGAGGAAGGGATTCTGATGGGAACTAGGTTGAATCTGAACCTCAGTTTGGAGATTGCTGCCATCTGAACAATGTTGTGTTCTGACCCATGAACACAGGATGCATTTCTGTTTATTCAGGTCGTCTTTACACCTGGCCTGCTCCCTTTTCTGGATGTGCCCCCCCCCCCATTGTCGTCTCCCACCAGAGGAGGTGCAGACATCCCCCTGAGGGCCTGGGGCGTCAGCCTCACCACTGTCAGTGAGGACTAGATGAGTTAGAGGGAAGGTCACCTCACTTTGTCTAGCTCCCCGCCCCCCTCGTGTCTGACTCTGTGACCACACAGACAGTAGCCCGCCAGGCTCCTCTGTCCATGGGATTCTCCAGGCAAGAACACCGGAGTGGGTTGCCATATCCTCCTCTACCACCTTACCTTAGTCTTGGAATTTATCTTCCAGATGGACCCACTCATGAGCGCCCAGTGTTGGGGGTAAGAGGCCCTTACAAGAACAGCCTAGGTCTGTTCTCTGGGGCTGGGGTAGAAGGAGAAACCCCTGAGCCTCTCTGCGGAGAATGGGCAGCTTTGGTGAAGCGCGTATCACCCAGCGGAGCGCGCGGCGTGCCCAGCTCGGGCACACTGAGGGCTGGTCCTGGGCACTCGGGCCTCTCAGCACAGGAACCAGCGTGCTCCCACTACCTCGTCCCCCATAACTTGGCAGTGTCTTGCCTTCAGCTTGTGTTTTAACAGGTTGAACTAAAAGGAGTAAAAAATTGAGCCAGTTTCTCATTTATCTCTGGGTCCAACAGAGGTGCCAGATGAGTCTTGTGCTAAACCAAACTAAAGGAGAAAGAGCCCACACTTCGTCCCTCGCCAGGCCCAGGGAGTGGCTTTACCCACCATTTGCTGGCCCTTTACTGGGTGTTACATGGGGCTCAGTCTGGCTGAGCTGGTGAGCTCATCCCAACAGCCACGAGTTCCATCCCGAGGAGAGACCAAGGCTAGAAAGAGAAGGGGGTGTGGGACGAGCCAGCCCCAGCCAGGCCCCAGGCATCCAGACCTCCCTGAAGACCCCAGCAGGCCCACAGCCTGTCAGTCAGAATTACAGCCAGGTGCCCCAGGGGCTCAGTAAATATTTATTTCAGCCTTTGTCTCCTGGGGTCCCAGGAAGGGGCTCAATCCCATGAGGCTGGGAGGCAGTAGTACCCTGGGAGCCCAGGGGGTGGCCGGGTGGCCCCTGCAGGTGGCCCCTGCTGCCCCTGGCAGCCCCATCCAGCCTCTTCTGGGCAGCCCCCGGGGAGGTGCCCCGGGCTGCCGGGCCCTCGGTGGGGCCAGGACCCAGCGTGGACACCATGCTTCGCCACGGGGACCAGCTGGCTGAAGGAACTCAAACGACCTTCTGGTCAATTGGCGGGCCGAGGCCACACAGCTGTAGCCATTTAGACTGCCAGGCTCTCCCATGGTCTCTGCCCAGCTGCGCCTTCTGAGAACCCTGGCATGGGGCTGAGCCGTGGCAGCTGCAGCAGCGTGGTGTGCCCTGCCCGCAGAGTGGGTGATTGGGATGAAGCGTGGTCTGCAGTTGCAGGGGAGGGGGCGTCAATGGGAGGGGCGGGTGGACGCTCCACAGACCAACAAGTAGTCTAAGAACAGGCGTTAGAAACAGCCCTGGCTGGCTGGGTGGGGCTCCGTGGGGGCTTTCGCCTTCTCTCCCTCTTTCCTGTTTCTGGAGTACTTGCCGTGGGTGGGTTGTGGGTTAGGAGAAGACAGGTCAAGGTGGCCTGTCCCTCGGGCAGGTGCTGAGCGGTGTCTTCACCCTGCAGGCTACAGCATGTTTGCCGTGGGCATTGGGGCCTTGCTCTTCGGGTACTGGAGCATGATGAGGTGGAACCGCGAACGCAGGTAGGCCCCGCACTGGAGAGGCGGGTGGGGACTTAGGCCGTGGGCCCGGGGCTCCTCCGGGCCCCTGAGTACCTCAGGGAGCTCGGGGCCTGAGCTGGCGAGTCCGTTTCTGGGCTTTACTTCAAGGGATGACTGACTAGTAAGCAAGAAGCTTGCCTCTGGGTGTTCACTCGGTACCCTTGAGCTCCACCCCCAGGTACCCAAGGTCCAGTTTGCATAGACAGAGACGGAGGCAGGGGGACAGGCCCTGTCCCTCAGGGGGTGTTTGTCAGTGGTGCCCGGGCAGTGGTGATACCAGGACTTCAAAGGCAGATCATACAAAACAGTGGCCGGGCCATTCACACCGGCCTGAGGGTCCCAGTCTGCTGCGGCCTTGGTTTGGACCCTGGCCACCTCCGAGTTTGCCCAGTACTCTGTCAGATGGCTCCTCCTCACTGGCTCCCAACCAGCGGTCCCCGCCACCCTCCCCGGCTCCGTGTCCTCAGCATCCACCTGGACCCTGCTCACCCCCCTACAAGGGCAGTGTTGGAGAAGGTCCAGCACGCGGAGGGCACTCCACTTTGTTCAGTGAATTCAGGGCACCTGGTGGGTGCTGGACCCCACCCTGAACAGGCGAGACCAGGCCCAGTCTCCCGGGGGGCACCGCGGTAGCCATGGTATGTGACTGCTGAGGACAGCAGCCCCGGTCCCTGGGTCCTGGGGGGTTGAGGTGGAGGCGGAAGTTCCCTGGGACCCTTCCCTGTGTTGCTGTGAGATTCGTGGTGATGGGGGGACAGGGTCAGGGGCCACCCCCTGGGCTGCGTCACTGGGACCGCTCTCCCCACTCCCCCCAGCAGACAGGGCTGGCGAGTTAGAGACGCCGAAAAGCAGGGAGAAGAAAGAAGCTGCTCATGATACTCGCCAACCCCCCCCCCATGGTTATTTTGAGATGAAAAGGATGTGGTTTTGTATGGCCCAGAACCTCATGATGAATGTTCCCCCAGTTCACTGCAATCATCAGGCCTGGGCTATTTTTAGGATTAAAAAAAAAAAGTTTTGAGCTGAAAAGAAAGTGTGAAGCCAGCAGTCTTGTGGACTGATGCCGCCACTGCCAGCTGTGTTTCCCCACATCCCCCGCGCCCATCGCAGGCTACTGGTGGCTGAGCCCACTTCCCCCCTTGCTTGCCTCTGCCTCTCCCCCAAGCCCCATGCCAGGGTAATGCCCGTCCAGGGGCCACATCGTCTGCCACCATCCCACCGGGGACTCATCTGTCAGTTTTGGGGTTTCACAGGCGTCTCCAGATCGAGGACTTCGAGGCCCGCATCGCGCTGATGCCTCTGTTGCAGGCAGAGAAGGACCGGAGGTAGGGCACTGGGGTCAAGAGGTCACAGGTCAGAGTGCCCCAGCATGCACTGTGGGACAAGGCCAGAATGCACGTGGGGATCAACAGCCATGACCTTGTTGACGGCAGCTCCAGGGGCTGCCGTCGTCCTTGGAGAGGACCCCATACTTGACTTGCAGAAGAGCCCCAAGAGGGAGAATGAATGTTTCTGGACGAGGGGACGTTGGCTGGGAGGGCTGCAAGAGTTTGTCAGGGGGAAGGAAGTAAAGCGGAGAGATCAGCGTGTGTGCGGGGCTGAAAGCCCTGGAAGGTGATGGGGAGCTGGAGGAGGGGCAGGTCTGGCAGGTTTGTTAGGCAGAGGCCCTGGTAGGAATCGGCCCTGTCCCCCACCTCCCACCTTGTCTCCCTGCAGGGTTCTCCAGATGCTTCGGGAGAACTTGGAGGAGGAGGCAACTATCATGAAGGACGTGCCGGGCTGGAAGGTGGGTCCTCAGCCTCCTACAGAAAACCTGGGGCTTTGCGGGAGTGGGTGCCAGGTGCCAGCATGGGGCGGCCGTTCCGGGTAGAGGCACGGGGGCTGCCAAGCCTGGTGGGGTCCCAGCAGGCTCCTGGGACCCACCCTTACCCCTCCATCCCCACAGGTGGGTGAGTCCGTGTTCCACACCACGCGCTGGGTGACTCCCATGATGGGCGAGCTCTACGGGCTGCGCACGCGCGAGGAGATTCTCAACGCCACCTATGGGTTCATATGGTACACGTAGGGGTCTGCGCCCCAGAGACTGCTGGACCCGCGCCCTCTCCCCGCTAGGAGAGAATAAACGCTCTGGAGACTGGCTTGCTTGTGTCCCAGGGACTGGGTGATTGGGGTAGGGGGTGTCAGAGGAGGCGTGGGGACTAAGCAGAAGATGCCAATGGGATGGGCCCTGGATCGCCCTGGAGCGTCGGCTGCCAAATGTGCCTGGACTTTTTCCTGCCTTTGCTGAAACCCTGCTTGTCAGCAGCCAGCCTCTTCAGACTGGGGGTCTTCTCCACTGGGGTACTGGTTGGGTGGATGGGCCGCCCGCATCGGAGCGTATCGGGCTGGAGAGGGGCGCAGCAGAGGCGGGTCCACTTGCACCCAGGCCAGGACGCCGTAGCGGGGGTAATGAGCCCATCGCTGTCCTTCCAGACTTTGTTTCCCTGCCAGTGTCTGGAACTTTGGGATTCCCGCCATTCCACGGGCAGCTCCACTCCTGGCACGAAGGGGTTAAGTCCACTTGCACTTAACAACCAATGGCCATGCGCAGCGCCTTCGCGGCGTCTCCTGATTGGCGGACACACAGAGTGGGCGGGAGGAGAGCGGACACCCCCTCCGCCCAGGGATGCGTTTAAAAGGCTGTGGCAGTGGTGGCTGCCGGCGAGCACACAGATCACCTGCGCCATGAGCAGCACGGATGGCCCGGACCTAGCGGAGGCGCCCGAAGAGCGGTGTTTCCTCAGGTCAGCCAGGGAGAGGGACCAGAGGGAAGCAGGGGCACGGCTGGAAGAAGGCCTGGGGGACCAGGGGCTTAGATGGGAGGCAGAGGCATGGCCGGGATAGAGGGCGGGGAGAATGCCAGGCCCATCCCGTTGGAGGGAGTAAGCCTGCGGCTGCCAACACCTCCAAAGCTGCGTTGCCAGGGAAACGGTATCAGCAGCAGGCCTGCCCCTCATGAATTATTCATTAGCACCGCTGGTTGCTCCCCCTACCCCACCCCCGCCAAACACACACAGTCTAAGCAGGCCCACCTCCTCTTTCCATCTTTCCCAGGGACCCTGGAGCCGTGCCCCTTGTCCCCCATCTGGGAAGAGCCGCAGGCTTTCAGCTCCTCAAATGCGCACCCCCTCCATGGTAGTCCCCCCTGCTACTAAACCCCTTGTTCAGAGAATAAAACTGAAGACTGGGGAGGGAAGCGGCTGGCTGAGCTCGAATTAAAATGATTTTTGAATACATGGGCCACTTGCCAGTGGGCTGATGAATTTGGGGTCTGGAGCTGGCAGCCGTGGTTGTGTCCTCCACCTGATCCTGAGTCGTCATCCTGTGTCCTCTTAAGTGTGTGCAACGTGGGACCCCAAGCCAGGCTGTAGAGCTCTGTCTAAACCAGACCCCACAGCCCTTGTGCTGCCACCTGCCCGCTGTCCACTCAGCCCCTCTTAAAGGCAGGTCCTCTGCGCCACTTGGCTGCTATCCGGCTAGAGACCCAGCACATGCGAGGCAGGGGGAGGAAAATGTTCCAGAAGCTGGAGCTGTGACTTCACCTGGTGTGGGGGATGGAATGCCAACTGGGGAGTGATGAGGTGCTATGTGTTGGGTAGGAGTGGCACACGGGGAGAGGAGGCCAGAGTGGGAGACATACTGGGGAGCATGTAAGTCTGGTGAGGAATAAATGTTCGAATAAATGTTCTCTTAATGCTGGGGAGGTTTGGGAAATCTGGCGTTCAGGTTTTCAAAGACCCATGGCTCGTGTGGAGTTTGAGGGGACAGGATTGCAGTAGCGGCCAGGTGAGCCGTGACGGAGGACTGGAGGGCAGAGGCAGGAAGGTGGAGAGAAGCAGATGGATCTGAGAAAGAGGGAGTGTCTGGCACAGATACCCTGGGCTCCCAGCTTCACCTCCAAAAAGCCCCCTCTGGGGCTTTTGCTCCTTCTGGGGCTGGTGGGCAAATCCTGGGACCTTGCACCTCCTCTCCTGGGGGCGGAGGTTGGGAGAAGCAAGAGGCACCCTCATAAACTGAGCACCCTCCGCTCCTCAGTCCCATAGTAGCTCTGCCATATCCCCTCCCCGACTCGGAGCAGCTGCTGCTCCAGCCCTCAGGTTCCCGGACTGCCCTTTGCCTGTGGAGTCCCGATTGTCACTCCGGTGACCCACTAGGCAGAAAGATAATGGGGTGAAAGCCGCTCAGTCATGTCTGACTCTTTGCGACCCCATGGACTGTAGCCCGCTAGGCTCCTCTGTCCATGGAGATTCTCCAGGCAAGAATACTGGAGTGGGTGGCCATGCCTCCAGGGGATCTTTGCAAGGGATTGAATCCGGGTCTCCCTCCTTGCAAGCAGATTCTTTATCATCGGAGCCACTAGGGAATCCCAGGAAGCCTCCACATGGAGGCCAGAGGCCAAATCTTCAGAACAGAGGAAAAAAAGAGGAGGATGGATGATCTTCCTCAGCCCTCCCATGGGGGCAGCAGAGCTGTTGCAAGCTGAAGACGGGGGAATGAGCTGCGTTACTGCAGGCAGGTTTCCTCTAGTTGTGGCGCGTGGGGGAGACTGCTGCGGAGCACTGCTTCTCATTCTGCTGGGTTCTTTTGTTGCAGAGCAGGCTCGAGGTGTGTGGGCTTCAGCAATTACAGCTCGCAGGCTCAGTAGTTGTGCTCGTGGGCCCCTGAGCTTGCAGGCTCAGTAGTTGTGATGCAGGGGCTTAATTGCTCTGAAGTACGTGGAATCTTCCCAGACCAGGAATCAAACCTGTGTCCCCTGCATTGGCAGGCGGACTCTTACCCACTGTGCCACCAGAGGAGCCCCTGGGCCTGCCTGCTCTTCATATGGCCCCACCGGGAGCTCGTTTTTCCTACCTGGTCCTTCAGCCTACAGTGTCAGCCGCAGACAAGCGTGGGCTTGAATGTGACTCTGCTCGCTGGGGTCGTGAGGCATGTCACTTTGCCCTAAGCCTGCATCTCCATCAGTGTGACACCCTGAAGTGTGTCTGACCAAGTTTCTCAGCCTCACTCACTCTGCCTCTCTTCTGTCCCTTGAATCTGACAAGTTCATTTCCACCTCAGGACCTTGACCCTCATTGTTCTTGCCACTTGGGTTACCTCCCACAACACTCCAGGTCAGCTCCTCCAGGAAACCCTCCCTGACTTCCCATCCCATAGCAGTACTAGCTTCCCACCTCCAGCCCTCCTGCTGCCTGGCCTGGTCACACTACAAAATTAGCTAGAAGGTTGTAGTCTCCTACTCACAGAATTTAAGAAAGGAGCCTCAGGATTCATCCCAATGAGCCCCTGCCTATCTGTAGGTCAGCCTTGGCTTCTTTGCTCACACCCCATCCATGGCTCTGGAGACAGGCCCAAGGGTAGGAGGCTCAGTTTTCCAGTTTGCTTCCAGTGTGACTCTGGGCAAGCCATTTTACTTCTGAGTTGTAATACATTCTTCCAACTCTTCTGAGCCCGATCCTTTTAAAGTAATAATAATTATTGTTATATGTATCTTTATTACTACCATGATACTCAAGGGTGTGCTAATAAGCTGGGGCAAGTGCTCTTGCTCACCTGGGAGGGGGCTTGGCCAGGGGGAACTGGCTTCAGGCTGCAGACTCTGCTCAGCTGCTCCAGCCCCTGATTCTGGCACGAGGAACGTCTTCCCATCCTCAGTGCCAGTTTTTGCTCTCTGAAGCCACCAAGCACATGTCCCTTGGAAGGCCCCCTGAACTGGGGGCCCTGCTCTTCGAAGGGCCCAACACTTGGCTTAATGTTCTGCTATCACCATCTTAAAATTCTTAGTAATTATTGATCAAGGGGCCGCACATTTGCATTATGCACTGGACCTCAAAAATTATCTAGCCTGTGCTGCCTACACTTTTGCAGAGGAGGAGGAAAGCAAGGCTCAGAGAGGAGTCAGACCTGTCACTTAGCGGGCTGGGGGTGGAGCTTCACCTCAACTACATTGGCTGCATCTCTCTGGCCACAATTATTTGAATTTTTAAAAATTAATTTATTTTAACTTCTATTCTTTTTGGCTGCACTGGGTCTTCCTGGCTTTGTTTGGACTTTCTCTAGTCCCTGTGAGTGGGGGTTACTCTTTGTTGCAGTGCCTGGGCTTCTTATTGCCATGGCTTCTCTTGTTGCAGAGCATGGGCTCTAAGCACATGGGCGCTCGAGTGCAGGCTCAGTAATTGTGACGCATACACTTAGTTGCTCTGTGACATGTGGAATCTTCCCAGGCCAGGGATCGAACCTGTGTCCCCTGCAATGGCAGGCGATTCCTATCCACTCTGCCGCCAGGGAAGTCTACAGTCATTTGAATTTTATCACTGCATCTAAAGAATAATCACCAATGAGTCTCATGGCTGCAGTCCCCACAGCCACCACCTCATGTGAACCATTAAAATCCTTTGTAGCTTTTAAAACCCGCCTCCAGTCCAGGGTGCCCCCTCCAGTGTTGGAGAGTTCCGTCAGTGGTTTCCACTGCCTAAAATCCACACATTGCCCCAAGTAACTAAGTCCTTCATGCTCTGTTACCTGTGCTGGGTTCCTCCTGCCTTGGGGGCTTCAGGCAGCTGGGGGAGGCCCCCCACTGTTATTGTTGTTTGGTCACTAAGTCATGTCTGACTCTTTCCCACCCCGTGAACCACAGCACTCCAGCTTCCCTATCCTTCACTATCTCCCGGAGTTTGCTCAAACTCATGTGCATTGAGTTGGTGATATTATCCAACCATCTCATCCTCTGTCACCCTCTCCTCCTCTTGCCCTCAATCTTTCCCAGCATCAGGGTCTTTTTCAGTGAGTCGGCTCTTCTCATCCGGTCGCCAAAGTACTGAAGCTTCATCCTCAGCCTCAGTACTTCTAATGAATATTCATTGTTGATCTCCTTTAGGATGGACTGGTTGGATCCCCTTGCAGTCCAAGGGACTCTCAGGAGTCTTCTCCAGCACCACAGTTCGGAAGCACCCATTCTTCAGCTCTCAGCCTTCTTTATGGTCCAGCTCTCACATCCGTAGGTGGCTACAGGCACCCGCCCACGCCCTG